GAATTCTTCCACTGAGATGGAAACACACCATGGATGATGCTCCTGCTCAGAATGTGGCATATGGGAGCAGAGATGTACGGAGCAGCAATTTTTAGCAGTCTAGCATCTATTTCATCTGTACCAGGAGTCAAAGACTGTGTGAGTGACTGTAACAAAACCATAACTTTGTTATCGTCTATTGGCACAAATTTAAGCCCAGATTCACTCGACCCCGACAAAAGTGGGTCTTCATCACTAACATGCTGAGATTCATCCTTATAATACCGAAACTCATTAAATATGTTTGCTGGAACCTCTGGTACCTCAGATTCAGGGGGAAAATGATTGTTCTTCATGTGTTGGAACCTTTTAGAAATTTGTTTTCGTAAGGCTCTTATAACTCGTTGTAGTTGTTTTCTTTCTTTATTTTCTTGTACATCAGTTTTACTCCTCTTTACTTCATCTCTTTCCAGTATTAAATCTATTATGTCTTCATCCCACCACCACGGTTCAGGATGATCCTCAGTTGTAATCTTTGGAGCATGCCTGTTTGCTATTCGGATAAAGATTTCATTAAACATTAAACTCATCACATGTTAGATGAATGTGTTTTATTTTATTATAATTCTTTCTTGTTTGTCTGAACAAATACGTGTGTGTGAGTATATCTACACATATATTTGTATTCGTAAATGAAAATACATGTAGATGAGTATATATTGTTTTTTTATTGTTTGTTTTATTATGTCTGAAATAAATAAAGAGAAAAGAAAAAAAAGAAAAGAAAAAAACTTGGATAAAGCATTCTCAGGGTCAAGGTCCTCTGTTACCTCATTCCATTATTCTGCATCAATATCCCTAATGAAACTGTGAATGCTTATTCTTTGGGGTACTTTTTTTTCTGTTACATCAACAAAAACAAGATTATGATCACTACAGCCTGTGACAATTGAGTATAGAGGGTAACAAAGTTCTGGAATATTTGTGTAGATGTGATCAATACAGTTTTCTTCTCTGGTACGAGAGTTTACAATCTGTTCTAGACCACATCTCTCAGAAAACAACTCAATATTTTTTTTTTCACCTTTTGCTAACCAATTCATGTTAAAGTCACCCAGCAAGAGAATGTCTTTTTCTGTTCGGTCTCTCTCTGATATCTCCATGCCTTCAAGATACTTAAAATCAGATTTTTTTGATATATAACAACATCCTATTAAAACTGGTTTGGTATGTGGCAGGTAAATGTCAGCCCAGATAATTTCTATATTAGACAGATTTGAGAAAACGTGTCTCTTAACTGGAATGTGATCTTGAACATAGAGAGCTACACCACCTCGATACCAGTTACTATTATTATGTTTTCTATCGCATCTGTACAACTTGTAATTATCTATTTTTAGTTCAGAGTCTTTAATTCTTGTGCCTAAATGAGTTTCAGTGAGAGCTAGCACGTGTATTTCACAACGTGTTAAAAAGAGGTGAATGTAAGGAATCTTATGTCTAAGGCTGCGTACATTCAGATGAGCTATACGCAAGTTTTCAGTTGTGGGTTCTAAATGAGCCATGGTGACGTTCCTCTGCTGTTGTTAGGCCTGATTATCTGTTGTCCACTTCTGGTCAATGCTCAGTCTGCAACACAAACACAGTACAGTTATTACAACAATGCACTGAAACATTGTTAGATGAGTGCTGAGCTAAATTGTCATGTAAGATATGGAGAACCCAGGTGATCAAACATATGTTAACTCATTGTTGTCAAAAGTCAGAGGTTTATATACACTTATCATGAGCATGAATGTCATGATAATTTGGGCATTTTAATGACTTCTTTCATCTTTTTGTTTTGCAGGGTGGAATGATTGTACAGCATACATCTTTAATGACCTGGAAAAACAAGAATTGGGTGCACAAAGTTATTTTGGATGGGGATCTGGGAGGAGAGTTCCCTGGACACCAAAGTTAATATAGTTAACTAAAACTAAAGTAAAATCTAAAACTTGATGTGAAAATTATTATTATTAGTATTTGTTAGTCTGGTAAAAAAAACAAAATCCAATAATATAATATAATATAATATAATATAATATAATATAATATAATATAATATAATATAATATAATATAATATAATATAATATAATATAATTAATGAGGAATTGACGAACATGAAAAAATTGAAAATATAAAACTATCATAACGCTGCTGGACACCATCCTTTGTCTCATCAGGAGTGTGCCCTAATGTCTGCTACAGGTGTTCTTTTGATTTGTCACCCTGGTTTAAGTTTGTTCTCAGTCAAAGTAGTGGCTTATTTTATAATCTGACTGACAGTAAACTAACCTGAAGGTAGTGTTGATGTTCAGAGACTCTAACTTGATGCTTGCCTTTTAGCTGTGGAGCTCTGTGGGTTCGGTTCACCTGGAGGGTAGAAACATTTTGGTTATTTGGAGTTACATGTGGTGTACTCATGTATACAAGTTAAAAGTCCTATATGATGAAAATATCCACTCTGCTGCTTTGTCACAGGGGAGAGTCATTCAGAGGTAGTGGTGATTCTTGTAAAGAGCCAAAAAACAAACAAACAAACAAACAAACAAACAAACAAAAAAAACCCAACCCACTTATTTGCCATTTAACTGAGGTTTAAATAAAATATGGAATCATAGACTTCTGATGGTTTACTGTATATGTAAATATCATTTAGCAAGAGCTAAGCTGGAATGGAACAAAGAAAAGCTTATGGTCTCTTTTGGTGCTCCGAAAAACTTTGTTGTTAGCCCATAACAGTGCAATGAATGCTGTAGAAAAAGTTTAAAGTGCAATTTGCCATGTGTGTCTTTTTGATGAATTTGTTTTTAAAGCATACTTTTTAATTGTCACATCAAAAACTGAGCAGCTGGAATCAATGGCAAGACAACGAATCATTTAAATGTTTAAACAAGCTATTGAAGCACATGAACAGTTGATGGATGGGTGGTTGCTTGGTTGCCCTTCAGAGGCTGGAAAGCATGAAGGACTTGGATAAAAAGTCAATTTGTGAAAACAGAAGAGTGACACCAAAAGTAAACAATGCCAGAAAGACTACAGCATACAATTAAAGTATCAAACTTTGAAATATACAAACTTATTATTTATTAAGAAGAGTGCAGTCAACAATAAGGAGTACTAAATTAACACTGTGCGAGTGATAAGGAGAATCATGTAACCTGAGAGTAGACATGAGCCTCAGTGAATCATATGATGTTCAATGCACTGTTTTACATTAAGAAATAAATTAAATTCTGTTTTAGAATAAATTGTTCCTTCGGTTTCTTGTTATAATGATGACAGAACGATCCAAAGAGGGTGTGTGTCTGACAAGCTTCGAGAACATGGAGTATGACACAGCATTACTCAGTGTTACACACAGTGCACAGATTTATAGCACAAAACTAAATTCTGAATTTATCCAAATAACTTTTTCTTCTTCACTCATCCAATCATCGACCAAGCTACAAAAAAAAATAAATGACATTTTATTAGACAGATTTAAAGGCCCAACAGCCCCAAAAGCTGTTCATTTCAACATGTAGGGTAGCAAGATTTACAAAAGGGATACTGATGCCTTTGATACCTTCGATACTCTACTCACGATGAAGCTCTTACTCCAACAACAACATGATTCTGATTTCAGGACTTTAACTTCTATAAATATTCTCACACTGACTTATTACAATCCTACACTTTCAAAAATTCTACTTTTAAAACAAATGTTTTGATAGGTCTGACTCACCAGTTGAATTAACTTCACCTAAAAATGACACAAAGGAGATTGGGCGTCCTGGCTCAGGTGCGACTGTGTTGTATCTGACTCAACAACAGGACATCTTTATATATCAGCTGATGATGTCATGATGGAAGAATGCAGTTTATCAGGTTTACCTACACTGATATGAAAAAAACCTTCGAAATGAAAAAGTGTGTCTGACGTTTGAGCTTTAAAAGACACAAGAAGCTTGGAGAACATGGTGATGCAGCATTACTTCAACACTAAGAATCAGAGTACTTCCAAGTCAAAAAACAGTACTTCTACCCAGAAATAAAACAAATATTTTGCCTTTTCATGAGGCTTCACTGGTTGAACAAATTTTACCTAAAATGGGACATCACGGTTCAGGTGAGTCTTTGTTGTATCTGACTCTAATGTCAGTGTTGTTACTATGGCAGAATACAATTCAAATAGACATACGGATAAAACAAACGAAAAAATAATAAAATGGTTTTGTTGTACCCGTCACAGTAGGTGTCTCTAGAAAACACCTACCAAGCAGTGGACAGCCATGGACGTTTTCATGGCTAAATCAGGTCGGTCAGCCATGGCCTTTATATTTCACAATGTTACAAACACTTAAATTTCAACAATTAAATAATTTTACCACTGAGCATGACACACAACTAACATGTATTCAGGCATTAAGGCTAGAACAGAAAAGTGAAAGCATGCAAACTTGTCTTTTTGTTGATGTTTGGTTGTGAGATGAATGTGATCAGACAGCCATACAACAGGTAGATTGACTAGTATTATCGGATACCATTTCTGCGTATCTCCATGTAAATGTTGTTTCTGTTCCAGTGTGTTGCATGCCGACCCCATAAGTTATTGTTCACACATACTTGGATGGCACTGTGGCGCAGCAGTTAGTAAGAAGGGTATAGATCTGAATCTGCTGCTCACTGGAGGATTTCTAAGGAAGTTATGAGGAGGAAAATTCTTCTTTTCTGGGTGAGGACTCCTGTAACATGTTATGTCACAGCAGGTACAACTAAAAGACTAAATATAGACCCATACTTTGACTCTATGTGTACTTTAAGACAATCTACCCTGTGCTCTGTCCTCTGAAGCACATTTGTGGTTACTGAAGTACCTTCAGGTAATTTATACTGCACATCTGGAGGAGACAGTGCTCCAGTTAAGAAATCAATAAGTTGAGATCAACAACTCCTAAATCATTCACATAAAAAATGACACATGACCCAGATTTTTCCTTTTTTCTCACTTTATTCTTTTGCTGTTATTCTTGTGGTAAGAAACAAGCAGCCACTTACAGATTCAACACGTTCACTTCCCAACACAATGAGAATCTACAAACACGCACAGCCACTGAGCCGCCACGGCGCCTTCAGGACAACAAAACCATCCAACAGTAAAACAACGCCGTCGTCGTAGGTAATTGTAGAAAAACAGCACCAGTTTGTGTGAAGCTGCGGTGATCGGGGGGAGCTTCACTCCTCCTCCTCACCTGTTCATGTGGTGCTCTTCATGCATGGGTGTCGGTGTGGCACAGGTGATTCACGTTGGCACATTTGAACAGGAATAGAAAAACAAACATCCTAAATATATAGAGTGCACGGACAACAAGACGTGATCATGTATAAATATAATACTGGTAGGCAGGAATGAGAGGATCAGTAGTGGTTTATCGTCAGCCTGTGCAGCTCAATCGTCCTGCTCTGTGGAGACTCACTGCTCTGGAAACATCTCACTGTATGTTCCTACAGCTGGTCCACGACGTGCCTCTCAGTCTCAGCAACACTCTTTGATTTCTGCTCACTCTGAGGTCTCAGTTATTTGGTGTGTGTTCAGACTGCAGTGTGAAAAGTGTGCAAAGGCTCGTTAGTATGCACAGAAAATATTCAGTGAGCTGACACACAACATAATCCAAAATGTGCCCTTTACTTGTTTGCCTCAAAGAGTCACAACAGTAGCTTTTCTTGTACCTGACGTTTCTCACTAAGAAGCTGCCCTTACTATCATTTTTCCTGCTATTAACGTATCCTTTATTATTACTGTGTATTACAGGTCGTCTGTGCTGGAGCTCACGGTCTAATAAAAAGAGAAAGTCAGAGTCAGAGCCACAGAGAGCATCCTGCTGCTCTAACAGAGCCTTAAATGCTTGAAAATAGACTCAAGTTTGAGTCATGTTCAGACGCTGGTTTAATCATTTATTTGAACCTGCGACCCAGAGAGCAATAAGAGTCGCAGAAAGGCTGTAGGATGTACTGACGGACTCATGTTTACAGGACATAAATAGAGAGTAATTGCAGCTTTGTAAGTCAAGAGTCACGTCCTGGAGTAAACGAGTATTTTTAAGTTTTCTCCACACCTTCATGTTCTGTGTTTAACCCTCAAGCGACTGAGACGTTTCAGTGACTGAATCACCGGACTGGACTCGGCCACTATTAAAAAAACCTTTGAATAACCTGTATGATCAAGTCATGATCATATATTTTATTAAAGAGAGCTTTTTGTTAATAGTGGATCTATTTGTGTTTATCATGCCTCTACTGTTTCTGCCATGTATGAGATATTAGTTTACATCACAGGTTCACAGGGAGAAAAAAAGGGATGTTGGGTCAGATTCCCTGGGCAGCTGGAGCCTTTCTGTGTAGTTTGCATGTTCTCCCTGTGCCTGTGTGGGCTTCCACCCACAGTCAAAGACATGGATGTTACATTAATTGATGATTTTTAAATCAAAGTCTTTAATGTTAAAAAATATCATTATCCTCAGCGCACCCATTTCTGTAAAATAAATAAATAAATAAAAAGTTGGAAGGAAACATTTTCATAATTAAAAAATACAACAAGGTCACACATAAATGACTCCACTCAGTCACTCGAAGGTTAAATAACATGTTTTTGTTCCCTTCATGCACTCTGTGAGCTCTACAGACACCCCTGAGACGAGGACAGTGGACCAGGTTTGGGGCCAAAGTTATAATCCCAGCTAAGCTCACAGGCTGAGTTCTTCAATAACTGCGGGTGAGGTGGGAATGTTTCTGGGACATGTGACCGAGTCAGAGGCAGTGAGAGCGCGGGGATGTTCAGAGAGTGTATCTTTACGAGGACACGGTGTTTGAAGCAGTTGGATTTCATCACCACATGGCGCATTTCATCAAAAACAAAAACACTGTTTGAGGAACCCACGATGCAGCGGAACGCCGAGTGGGCGGTGTAACCACAAACAGGACCCACACACATCTTCACATGAGTCTAAAGCTATGGTGTCTACAGTGTACGTCTGTGTGTGTGTGTGTGTGTGTGTGTGTGTGAGAGACGGGGGTGTAATAGATACAGTTTTAAATAATTCGGTCGACATCACTTCAGTTCTAACCATCAAAAACTGTACTGGTTTTGACATTTCACAGTTTACGATACAGGCAGGGTGATAATGAGCGGACTTTATCAGAGTTAGTATGATCAGCTCGATTTTGGCAGAACAATTTAAATCCAGAGACAGCCCTTCGATCAGAGCAGTCGCTCCAATTAAGACACAGATTAGAATCTCTGATCATCGGCGTTTCGTCACCAATCACAGACGCGTGCTTGAAATTTTTTTGCCATCTTTACTTTTTATCCTGTGATTGAAAATCAGTGCAGTTTTTCTGGTTGTTCAGAAATGTACAAAAAAACGGCGGCTCGGACGGATGAAGCTCCAACACCAGCGGTTACCAGATACCACTGGAGCGGCCGCCGGGAGGGGCCAGGATCCGAGCCGAGGACCTCTTCGGGATGTGGTCGTCGACCTGAGACCCTGAAAGGAAAAACACGTACGGACTATTAAATTTGATCGAGGACTTCGGTGTAACGTCACCATAATCAAGGACGATTTTATTAGAGCTCACCTGAGAGGCTGAAAGAGGACTCGTGAAGGTCTCGGATTCCGGAGTGCACTCGACCGCAGGCTTTGTTGGGCGTCTCTCCATCTATGGGGCCCAAACCGAGTTCCTTCTTCATGGTGTTCGCAACCTTGGCCACATCACCAGAGTACGGATCCCTGTCCACCCCTTTGTAAGCCTGAGTCTGAAACACGATGAGGTGAGAGGTAAGATTAGGATGTTTAGCCATTTTAAACCTAATAATAACAGCCAGTTGAGCTGCTGCTGTAAGATTGATACTGATTAATATTTGTTACATGTAAGTAACCAAGTTAAATTCCACTGAAGAAGCACAAAATTAAAACAAGGTGTGAAAAAAACTGGAATTAAAATAAAAGCTAGACTAGAAAAAATAAAAAGATCTTGGGCACTCACAAAAATCATTAAAATGAAATAAAAACAAAAACTAAAAGGCACAAGTACTTTTATTTGTACTAAAACATGTGTTCTGAAACTATAAATGAACATACTCACTCTGTAAACTACCTGAAATTGAACTGAACTGTAAATATAAGTTCTTATAAAAACAGTTTCTGTACTTTTGTGACAAGTTTTTTAAATAAATTGAGATAAAAAGGTCTAAAAGCAAACAGAGTAGAGAGGCTGGGATGGGGGGCTTTCACAGACAGGGGCAGCAGCAGGAAAACACACTGCTGGCTTCCACAGGGAGCATTAAATCCTTTATATGGGCTGTCAGATCGGTGGAGTCAGTCACATCATGATGGGAGTGTTTGTGGCAGGTTTGCTGTCAGCTGACACAGCAGAGCTCAGCCTGGATCTTGCTGTCCTGCCCTGGAGTTTTAATTATCAGTGGAAACACTCACAACACAAAGAGGCAGGTTTGGAATCAGTGTTAATAACGTGATGACAGTGAACGCACCTTTTCCCTCTGCACCATCTTCTTGTAGAGGTAGTCGGGGAAAGTACGCTGCGGGTAGAACTTTCCGGACCCCTCGGCGCACATGAACACGCCGTTCTCACACACCAAACGCCCCCGGCTGATGGTGACCAGAGGGACGCCGTGGCAACGCATCCCTTCGTACAGGTTGAAGTCTCCGCCCTGCACCTGAGTGCTCACAGAGATTGTCCTGCACACACACACACACAGAAAGTGATGGATGTGTGTCCCTATGCTTCGGGCTGAGTCCAGTAATAAAGGTGATTTCGGTTTATTTACAGCTGTGTACCTTGTTGCATCTGGATCCCAGACCACCACGTCAGCGTCAGCCCCGGGGATGATGCGGCCTTTGCGCGGGTACAGGTTGTAGATCTTTGCAGCGTTGGAGCTCGTCACCGCCACAAAACGATTCTCATCCATTTTCCCTGTAACCTTAAAAATACAGAAAGCCCATCCGATCATACAAAACATCTTTATTTCTGTTGCTACTGTGGTAGACCATGATGTCATTCAGCTGCTTCCCCAGAGAGAATCTCATCCCAGTATTGGACAAACTCCAACTCCAGGTCTTGGATGGTGCTCTGGAGATCAGCTGAGAGCTGCATGGCCACTCTAGTTAGAGCAGAAGATCTATTTCATGTGCTGGTAAAGTGGTCTTTCTCATAGAGGCTTCAGAGCAGAACATGGACATCCATCACCAGCTGCAGTTCAAGATGGCGTAGTATGAGTTCATTCACTGGAGAAATACTTAATTTTTATTGCAAATAGCTGGAAATAAAACTGAGCAATCTCTCAGACTGTTGAGTTTGTGGAGTAGAGGAAATATCTTGGCACAGTAACTGATACAAGCTTTGAGCCTCATGTGGATGCTAATGGTAGAAGATATCGCCAGTGCTTGTCATATTATGATAAGCTTCAAACTTTTCATTAAGTTTTATAAACAGAAACAAAACTTAATGAGTAAGTTTTATTTCTGTTTAACTACAGAAAACTAAGACTTACCAACATGGTGTCAAAACAGAACTTCCACATCCACTGGTTGTGGATGATAAATTGTGTGGTTCATGGCTGATCTCAGGTTTTTATGTGTGCGTTTGACGTGTGTACGTACCACTCCTCTCTCCCAAATGACGCTCATCCTGTCCTGGACTCCAGGCACTCCATGAGGGATCTTGGTGAAGTCCTCTTTGCCCAAAGCTCTCTGCTTGGTGCTGAACGGACGGTGCTCTGATGCCACCACGCTCAGATTGTCACTGAAACAGGAAACAAGATATCAACGTTTAGTTTAGAGGAGCGTTTTTATCCACGGCACCTTTGCCGGTCACTGAGCTGCTGTTGCGATCAGTTTACTCGAAGCAGTACAGCATGCTGATGTGAGTGCAGCACACATACTTGCCCAGCAGGCCCATGAGGTAGCTGGGTGTGTTTGGGTCGAGGCGGAGCGGAGGGACGATGACATGGGCGGCGGCATGAGCCCAATCCTGGTGGTAATACTGCATCCCATTCAACACTGCGTGAGCAACTGTAGTCTCCCCGTGGACCACCTTACCTGAAATTATAAAAAGTGAAGAAAAGTCAGCTTTCATCCTCTCCATCGTCACGGTGACTGTTAGTTTGTCTTCATCGGGCAGTAAGCTCACCCTGCATCTTAGCAGCAGCGATCATATCACCAGCAGACATACTGGACACATTTACCAGGTAGATTGGGCAGCGAGCCTGTGGTCACACAAAAGATTTTAATCAGTCCTTTAATTACTTATCAATAACTGCACACAGACTGGATATTAAAATGTTTTTACCCTGTTGGCGATGGTGATGGCTCTGTGAGTGGCCTCAGACTCCAGCTGCAGACAAGAAGACAGAGTAAAATCACAAAATAACAACTTTAATAAGTAAACATTTTAATATTTATTGCAAATATCTTACAAAAAAAAGTTCAAGGCCACAATGATTACTTGGTTTTGTTTTACATTTATAGGAAAGATCCCTAAATATTTCTACTGAATATTCAAAATTAGGTTTTATCAGCATTTTAAGGGAACATCAAGGAAAAAAGTTTTATTTTCCACTGTTATGTTTTAGACTTTTATCAGTGCTTTTTCACACATCAGCCACATTCACATAGTCCCACATTAGTCTAATATCACGCCCGCTCACACTCTAATGGATGTGTTGGGCGTAAGTCCAAGTGTTCAGTGCCAATGTAGACTGCAGGAGCAGATTGATCCTCTGACCTTTAGATTAGGATACGACCACTACCTCCTGAAACCTCCCACCCCTCTGTCCACTGCATATTTACCTCCTCTGGTCGACTGATCTCTATTCCCTCCGGCCCACTGATGCCCAAATCCAGAGCCTCTTTGGCACCCTAACAACACAAACACATTCATTTTAAAATGGGTTTGTGATTTCACTTCGACGTCAAAGGAAAAGAAAATTTGTCTTTGCACCTCGGCCACCAGCTCTCCGTTTTCAGCGTGGACTCGGGCAATGGCACCGATGTCCTTACAGGTCTGCAGAGTCTGGTAGAGCTCTGAATCCCGCAGCATCATCATGTCTTTGTAGGCCATGAACACCTGGAAGGAGTTCACTCCATGTTCCCTCACCAGGGTCTCCATCTCATTACGCACCTAAGGACGATTCAGAGGTCTCAGGGTCAGCAGTCATGTTTCTGGATTACAGTTCAGTGCTTGCAAAGCTTCAGCTTATATATGTAAAGGCAGCTAGTGCATCGGGCATTGGGACTGTGGGCATGGAGTGAAAGAGAAACTCTGTGTGTGTGTGTGTGTGTGTGTGTGTGTGTGTGTGTGTGTGTGTGTGTGTGTGTGTGTGTGTGTGTGTGTGTGTGTGTGTGTGTGTGTTTGTTTGTTTGTTTTGTGGGGCATGAAATGAGCTTGGAAACCTGCCACAATGAGATCACACTGCCTTTACACTGGTGACTATAACAGCCCCGCTGAGAAGAATCCATTTCATTCATTCAAACAGCAGTAAAAGGAAACTAGACAGTTTAGTGTTTAAAATGCTGAACTCTGCTGCGGTGAATGGGCCATAAAGGTCACGTCATAGTCATGATGGAGTATTGATGAAAGGAGCAAAACTACTTCCTTCCATAATGATTAATCTACTTTTACAGCTCATGACAGTTTGAGTATTTTTTATCATTATTATTATTATTCTCTCCTGTTATTGTTTCTCTCTGCAGTGTTTCCTTGTCTGTGGACCCGGCCTCTGTGTCTTTGTTTCCTTTTCTCTGACACCTTGTTTAGTGTTAATCAGGATTTATACATTTGGGTTAATTTATGCTGTAGATCATCCACTGTATGGTAAAGCCCTCTGAAAAAGCTATGCTGTAACATCACTTCCACTAGAACTGCAACCACATCGTGCTGATGCAGCGTTTTAGTGACTAGCTCAATTTCTCCTACATATTTTCAGCTACCTCTGTCATCATTGTCCAAATCAATTCAAAGAGAGAAACCTTCTGCCAACCATTCTTTGGGTGATGGCGGTTTTGGACACTAGGATAGACTACCATGCAGACTCGACATAGATTCAAAGTATAAATAAGTATAAATAAAAGTATAAATTAAGACTTCATGTCCTTGTTTTACTTTGATAGTCAGCTTTCTCTCTTGTGTTGTGTTAGTTTGATTTTCTTTTCTTTTGCCCTCCTTTATTATTATCTGCGCCGCCCTGCTTGTTTTCACTGGTGTTCAGCTTTGTTTTTGTGTAATTAGTCCCCCGTCTTATCTGTCTTTAAGTTTGTCTTTGTTGGAAGGTCTGCCCAGGCTCACTTTCTCTGCCCAAGCTCTGTTGGGTTATTGTTTCGTGGGTATTTTTAGCCAGATACTGGCTCGCCCTTGTTTTTCTGCCTTTGTGTCCTCTCTCTTTACCACACACACCCTGAAATGTGTTAAGAAACATTGTGTTGACATTTTTTAAACAAGAATGACTACCAGTCAAAGCTTTCTGCTGGACAGGTGTTGTATTAAACCTCATTCTGGCATGAAACGTCTAACAATATGCAATGAGATTGGGCACATGCACAAAGTCAGCAGATGATGTAGGACAGACATTAAAGCCAAAGGCTGAATGAGGCACCTTGACTCATATAATCTGCCTAATGTGCCCACTGAGCACGTGTGTTAACCCAGTTCTTGTGCGGGTTTAATCTAGGTCATTACACATTTCACCCACAAACGGCTGGCTGCGTTATTATTCATTCAACGATGATAAACGCCAGAAGAGCACAAAAATAAATAATGATATATGCTACCAACGTAATTCCAAGCACTTTGGTGGTACGTTTTTTAAATTTACCTTTGGTCCCCACCAGGTCAGCCCGACGTGCAGAGCATAGTCGCAGCACGCCTTGGCATCGGCCAGAGCCCTGCACTTCTCGTAGGCGTCCAGCAGGGAGCAGTGTTGTTCAGGCAGAACCAGAGCCATCACCATGGTGGTACCACCCATCAGAGCCGCCTGGGTGAGGTAAGAGGGTGACCAGGGGTGACAGAGAGGGGGGCAGAATAAGAGAAAAGAAAGACTGATTAGAAAGAGGACAATAACACCAATGTCCAGCACAGACTCTGTTTGTCTAGTGACAATAGTCCTTCCTTATCAACTGTTCATCATATGCTCTGCTCTTTATTGATTGCACTGACTCTCTTGTAGCCACTGCTTCATTTTCCTTTCAGTGTTGTTCTCAGTCTAAATGCCCTTATTTATTACTGTTATCACAGGTTTGTCCTCTCTATAGAAATATCTCAGCCTGACACAGAAAGAGAGATAAGGCTTTTTTCCTTCCAAGAGTGTGACAACATTGGTTTCATTAAGTTTTGACAAAAGGCTTCACATTAGTGTAGCTATACGTGTGAACGTCTTAATACTTCACAACCTCAAAAACTAAAAACGTAAGCTTTCTGAATATGGCTCCTGCTGCTAAATGTGGCTCCCTCACTTCTACTCCACAGGAAACAGAGAACTGGAGAAGATGAGAGATGAAATTACTAATGAAGGAGAGGAGTGGGCGAGAGGAAGCAAAGTTACAGAGGGGGAAAGAGAGGATGAGGAAACAACGATAGACTAGAAGAAGTGAAGGAAGCTGTGTGCAGTGACTCGTCTTCCTCGCTACAATGGTGAATGCACTTTTGTGTAACCATGACAACAGATACTGCTCAGCCATGCCTGTCGCACGTCCCCACCCTCTTCCTCCTCCTGTCCTCCTCTCTCCATCCAAAATTGCGCAAACATTCACCCATCCAATATCCTCTAACAGGAATATCACAGCGAGGCATGATGGGAGAACGTCTGTAATCGCATATAAAAGAGGAAATGAAGAGGTGGGGTGTGAAACAGCTGTAATCTGCTCTTTAGTCATCATCGACAATCAAAGTGACGTTAAACCGCCATCATTTTTGCAGCCTAACCTCAATAAAATGTGACTACATGAGAACGTTTCTGTGACAGTGTGGAGCCGTTGCCTCGGGCTCCAGACGTGTCTCACAGACGGGGGGCGGGGTCACCTGCTTGTGAGCATAAGCTCAGTCGGCCAGTAAGCTATCAGATTTCTCATTACCATAGAAACCAGTCCGAGTGATGTGCAATGTCAGCATCGAAGGTCTCAGCATATGTGTGCATGAAGAGTGTATGTCATTGATCACTGTCACTACATGTAACTGTGTGCATGTGTGCGTGTGAGAGAGAAAGCGGGGGGCACAGATGCACAGCTGGGGATTGTGGGATTTAGGCTGTCTGTCTGCTTGGCCTCAATTAAGATTTACTGCTGGCCCCCTTCTTTAAAAAACTCCCAGAGGGCAGAGCGGAGAAAACAAGCGAGCAAACAGGAGGTAAAGGGAAAAAGAAATCCCTGATCACTGCATCTTTACCGATCCATGTTACGCACACGACAGTATGAGCTAACATTGCTATAATCAGTGTGAACTGATTCAGGGGCAGTTTGAGACTTTTCTGTCAAACTGGAATAAAGGAGCTGTCTGAGAGCTGAGATGTTTTTCACGCTGTTTTCAAGCAACATTTGCAACTACAAACACTTGAAACAACATCCAATTTTAGCTTGTTCTAAATTACAGACCTGCTGTGGAGACTCAAGAAGCACAGCATCACTCGCTCACTGCAGACAGCACAGAGCATATCTGCTGGCAACAGCAACAATACCAGCCAGGTGCATGTTTAAGCCCAGGATAGTTGTGCATCCTTTTGCAAGCTTTCAGATATTTCACAACAAAATGAGTCGTCCCTCCAGTGACATCATTACACAGGCTTTGTGAATGTGTCCACATAACTTTATGGCATTATGGACAATGCCAGGCATCCTCTGCACACGGCCATTAACAACCAGAAGAGTCTGTTCAGTGACAGGTTGCTTCTCCCCAAGACAAGAACTAACAGACTTAAAAACTCCTTTGTCCCACACGCCATCAGACTGTTTAACTCCTCTCTGGAGGGGAGAGGGAGGGGAAACAGGAGGACAAAGGAGGGGGGAACAACTAAGCTGTAGTGCCTCTTCACCTCACTGTGCAATACCTTTTGTGCAATACTTTTGTAAATAGTCAACAGTGCAATAGACCTCAATACTTGAAATGTGCAATTCACTTGTATTTTTATTTTTATTCCTATTTATTCTATTTATCCCCTTTGTATATTTTATTTATATTGTCTCTGTATTTATATATATGTGTGTGTGTGTGTGTATATATATAATATTCTGTAACTCTGTAACTTCTGTCGGTGCTGTGCTTTTTTGGAAATCGAATTTCCCAGAGGAACCCACCCGAGGGATTAATAAAGTTCTATCTTATCTTATCTTATCTTAACTTAAGTAGAAGATTTGTAGATTATAAATTCCTAAAGATACCAGAATATCAGGTCAAATCAACACACAGTGCGCACTGATTATTTAACATCTGATTAAGAGCAGTGATATAAGCATGTGGATCGTTTTTCAACTCTTTAATTTAAACATACCAAAACATAAACAGTGATGGAGAAAGACAGCGTGTTCAGCCAACCAACATCGTTTAATCTTAGTGGATTTGACCTAAAAGCTCTTTTTGTCAACCCAACATACTGACACATAAACCACAAGCGGTGCGTAATATGAATCTCCTGCTCCATTAAAGACCCCAAACCCCTACTGTGAAGATAATCCCCTGCATAGAAAGTAAAAGAGATGGCGAGAGGGCGGCAGGCATGAAGGAAGGAGTAAAAGAAGTTGAAACCCAGTAGAAGAACATCTATAGACTAATAAAGATCAATAACAATACTTTTGGGATTTTATACTGTAAACTGCAAAGCTGGATTATTTTAACAGATCACCAAGAGAAAGTTACATCTAATAATAACAGTTCAAATGTTTTTATTAACAGTTGATTCATTCTGAAACCACACCGAACACAATCATTTAAAAATAGCATTAGTTGTGAAGATTTTAATGTACAAAAGAAAGAGTTAACTTTTCCTCCAAGAAGAACCAACGAGCACACAGAAATCCTGTCACATGAGTGCCTGAAGCTTCCTTTACATATGAAAGCGACTGTGAGGGGGTGAGAGTGTGTCAGACTCTGGGAGAGGCTATCAGTGTGAGACAGATTACTGCTCCAGCCCTCTGATCAGCCTCTATCAGCTCCACTCGTACTTCTTATTACAGCCGAGCACCTCACCTTCTTCCACTACCCTCCTCCTTCTCTTCATTGCTACAGTTCAGCCTGCTGAGACGTTTAAATGATCTCAGCCAGGCCTGCTGTGACAGATACAGCTCAGGCAACATTTCAGGCTTTATGTAAAAAAAAAAAAGCAGATCTGCTTAGCTGGATGTGATTGATCAGTGTTACACTGTAAAGACTGACTGTGGATAACAGTGAGAGCAGATCACACACTTTATTCTGTTAGTATTTAATAACAGAGACACAGCTGTGCTTTTCGATTGTAGTTTATATCGTCTGGAAGTCTTTTTTAACTGTTCAAACCCGTCACCTGTCAGGCAGTGTGATGCCCCTGAGGCCGAAACCTTTTTATTTTAACTTTAAAGAGTTCACGGTTTTTAATATTGCATCTACATATGTGGGGCAGTGGTCAGCATCGCCCCCTGCTGGTCATCATTGGCTTCCCTTTACAGACCTTACAGATCTTTTATATACAGTCCATGGCAGACACAGAAAGAAGGTTCTGATGATGGACTGGCTACATGTCTGGTGACCTTCACCTGGATAAGCAGCTAAGAATGGCTGAAAAGACTTCAGCATGATGTCAAAGAAGCTAAAACATCAGTTCCAGATCATTCCTATCCGGGCAGCACGTTCTTCCTCTTGACCTTCCACCATTACAGCGTGTTATATAAATCGGGGTGAAGCAGAGGAACAGGAGGAGGCACCAGAGGAGGAAGGAAGTAAAGCAGAAGAGGGAGCAGACAGTTACAAAACAGAGGGAGAGAGGGATGCAGAGGGGGGAAATAGTTTAGGGGTTCATCACAATTACACGAGCAGTTGCTGCGGTAACACAGTCACCATAGGAACCACACAATACTACCACGGTCATGTGTGCACATACTCTCTCACACACACAGAAATTTCCATGCTAAGAGTGCGGGTTAGTTGTCATGGCAGCGAGGGCAGCGGTGGGGGCTGGGGGAGAACTGGCACCAGTTTGTCACCAGTCTTCAGCCTCATTTCTCTCCTCTTACAGCACAGCAAAGTCACCGCCGCTATTTTATGATGTGCACCATAATTTCCAAACATGCCGGCAAGGCTGCGAGGAGAAAAGATACTAAAAGTGCTGCTGACGATCTCCCCCAGACAATCACTTGCTCGTCAGCAGCTACACTGAGCAGAAAGACCAGCTGGGCGGGCAGCGTGGACGGAATAGCATTAATATAAAACATTTTTAGGCCTCGTCCCCAAATACTGACACGGTGCCCCGCATTTTGATTGATTCTAATCGACACTCTGGGACAGACACTTTTCTGAAGTCTGTCTTTTATCTAATGGCAGTAAAAAAGGAAAAGAAAAGCTGTCATTGTGGGTCACCTGCAGGTTAACGTCACCACTTTTCCTGTACCTTTGCTACGCCTAACAGGGGAAATTTCAAAGCAACATGAAGAAAACTAGTTAAAATACCTGCTCCTTTAGCTCATTTAGCTTATTGTGTCCTTATTGTTCCTAAAGTCATAGAAGTGGTAATAATACATTAACAGCAATAATAGCAAATAACTAAACTGATATTTTTGGATGTATTTATTTGTTAGATTATATTTTAAGCTAGTGAAGGTGTCGATTCTCATGTTACATAAAAAAATAAATTGAGGAATAAACAGAAGTACCTGAAGTAGGGTGACTTGAACCTAAACTAAATATCACTAGAAGTTCATCTCTTCACATGTGAGACTCACAGTTGTGCAGCAATAACGTTAATAACTGATGCATAAAGCACGAGTGAGAAACAAAAAGACAAAGATAGAGCGTGACCTTTCCCGTCACTAGACCACAGTTTTTAGTTTTGTCAAAAATGATTGCACTAACACAAAGAAAAGCGGTTGGCCCCAGAGGCGTGAAAAACCTCCAAACTGCTGACCCTTTGCAACTTCCTCGGTGCTACGTTAGCTCTGCTGCTATCAGCTGGGTCACTGCTGCTGGCGTATGAACACGTGAGCACAGAACAACACAGATTTATTCAAATAGATCAGCCCACTGTCAGTGACACCTGGCGCAGTCCTAAATAATCCCAGTGAGCCGTAAGTTCAGATTTCAGATTTAAATTCTCTGTTTCAGACAGTTTTTTCTACTCTTTGCTCTGTATGATGTAAATGTATCCTTAATATGGTCTCAGCCACAGTTCTGGCCTACTGTTCCAAGCTTTTGTTTAAGGGAGAGCCAATCAGAAGCAGGGCAAAGGGGATTGTTTCAGGCAGAAGGGTTCAACAAAGGCCCAGTGAAAGACACATTTGTATTTATCCATTTGTACATACGATCATTTTGAACTGTGAATCATGCAAATGTACACTAGCAGAGCCAAATAACAAAAAATAAACTTACTCATCATCTTCTGGGGACTCCACGTTACATTTATCATGTAATATATTATTAGATGTGTCTGATGAAGCAATCACCTACAACAACACACACATATACTTTGACTTTTTGTCACATGACTATCTTTTGCTGATACTGTACTGTTGGCGTCCACAGCTGACGCCCTTGACTAAAACTGTCAGGCATGCCAGGCAGCATCTAAACAGACAAGCTGAGAACATCCTCCAACACATGCATACCACTGCAGGCAACAATAACACCTCTTAACCTCTTAATTATGAAATCATCCTCGTTGCTCGGGCTCTCAGTGGAAAACATGCAGGACATTCACAGGAAATTAACAAATACACCCAGAACAGATGAAAACTAAACAGCGGTGTGAATGTGTGTCTAAAAAAGATAAGTCTCTGCTTTCAACCAGAAACTGCTGACAGGTGTTTGCTTCCTGAAAGACCAATGTGAGAAAACATGTGGTCATTAGTCCTGATGAAGCTAAAAGCAGGACTCAGTATTTCACTGCAGACACGTCAGAGTCACAGAGAAAGCATGACAGCTGTCTGCAGACTTGAAATGTGTTTAATCACAGGCATGCTGACGAGCCTGCTCACAGCAAAGCCCTGTGTGTGAGTGTGTTTGAGCAGTGTGTTTACAGCGTGTGTACCTTGGTCCCACTGTAGAAGTCGTCCTGGATGGTGGCGTTCATGAAGGTCTCCTGCAGATGCACACTGGTGTCAATTCCGCCCGGTAACACCAGCTTTCCAGAGGCATCTATCACCTTAGCTCCGCCTGGTATCATCAGCTCCTTTCCAACCTGCCACAGAAAACACAAACACACGAATTACAGTACTTTATTTTCACATTATTATCACTTTATTTTATTAAAGTCCCAGCTACACAATAATAGTTTCTAGCTGAAACTGGTCACCAAGAGGTAAATCACTGTGCAAATTTCTTTTTATTTTGCTTCCAAAAAGGCCAGACTTTTTTAAGTAGGTTTTCTGAAGCACTGGTTCTTTTATAGTGCTTTTGAGCTACTATTACTCTATGTCTAAAAGCCTTTGATCATACACTCCGATGAACACATCAGAAGCAACTCGGGGTTTAGTTTCTTGCTTGCTTTAGCATGCAGACCGGAGCAGCCAATGATCAAAACACCAACCTTCCGATTAGCCGATGACCTGCTCGACCTCCTGAGCCACAGCCAACCTTTCTAAGTGTTTCTTTGGACATTATCTGCATTTTCACTGACTTTCAGGATCGTCTTGTGCCTAACCATTTTCAGAAGAATATTTTTGTTTTGTTTTTCTTGCTAAGGAGCGTAAGGACCCATTTATGCTTGCCATATTAGTCACTTCGCACACAAAGAGTCACTCAGACGGGACCACATCAGCGCTGGACAGGACGAGAAGAAGTGAAAACCAGGAAGCAAAGAAACCATGCAGCTTGTGCCAGGGAATGCGACTTCACTTTTGCTGTACAGTACAGTTCGTGCGAGAACGGCGACCATAAAAGGGCCATAAATGACGAGTGTTTGCAGAGAAAGTCTTCCATGCAGACTGCAGCTGTGGCAATCTACTAGTGAGGAAAGCAATCACAAGGAGGTTTTCTTTACATCACTCTTTATCTCTTTACAATTAGTTTCACCTAGCAACCTCAAGTAGCTATTTTCCATGCCCCCGGTAGGGGGATACATATTTTTTAATTGCAACCTGCGTTACCACCAAACTCTGGGCCTATATCAGGCCAAGATGTAAGGAAACAAACATTTACTTTTAATACAATCCATTAATTATCGTTTAATATATTAAATTTAAGGTTATTCAAGGTTCTTTATCTTAGGGATTTTGTTTGGTATATTAAACCAAACTAATTTCAGATTTTTATTTTTTAGGTAATCAGGTGCAGAATTAGATGTGCTGCTGAGGGTGTTTTCAATTACTGTGGTCCTGTTCTTTGGAACAAGCTGCCTGCTGAATTGAGGTCATTTATAACTGTGTGAAATGTGATATATAAATAAAATTGACATTGATTTTATAGCTCTAAGCATGAATGTGTCATCTATTGCTTGTTAGCCAATCTGACATTTTCATCCACACTGAAATACATACTTTCACAGTCCATAGAGAATGACTATTAATTACTTTGGTAACTGTTTTTGTGATAATGCTGACAATTAAACAGGCTGACATGAACATTAGTACACTTGGTAATCTTTTCTTCTTACCAGAGGAGCTGTGCATATTTGCAGTTTAACTCAACTTCTAGGTGGTTTTCTTCTGATTGGCACAAACTCACAAAAAGGTCTCACAGCCTGAGATGTTCCCCTTTTGTATGACAGCTTAGATCAGGCTGCATGCTTACACACGCTGACCTCACTATTGAGAACTTTGCCCATTTTTAATATTAGAACTGTTAGCGTAAAGTGTTACGCTTTGGGACTGAGAACGTGTTGGTTACAGTATGACTCGCTCAGCTTCGACACTTTAAATACGGCAAAAAAATAGCTGTTGTTGTCAGTGGTGATGGAAGTAAGCACTGACAGAGAGTGTGTAAATGCTCAACAGCTGCAGCAACACTGGAACGTTTCAGTACAGCTGATTCAAAGGCGTCCTCGCCACATAAACCGATGCTTATCTCCATGACAACACTGTGTGAGATAATTATAGTACCATGGTTTGGAGCCACAGAGTTGACCGAGTGGTTCTCTTCATGCTATTACTGTGAAATGAGTCATGCTAACAGCTGGAGATATACTGGACAGCGAAAGTGTGAAAGCGATGAAAAGTTTTTACTGTATGACACGTGGAAAAATGTGCTTGCAAGTACAAATACATTTGCACACGTGCACATTTAACATGTGTACATAACAGTGATTTACCTGCTGTATGATGCCGTTCTCGATGTAGACATCTGCTTCCTGGGTGAAGTCATCATTGACCACCTTTCCCCCCTTGATGAGGATACGCATGGACCCCATGTTAGCAGCCATAGTCCTACAAGATAAAAGGGTATTCAAGTAAATTCAAGTACACGATATTTAGCATGTTAACAACGTTGCGCAATACCAGTCCTTACCATAAGGTGGTGCAGTGAGTAATGTTTGTTTTGTATTTAACTAAACTACTAAATACTCAAGGAAATATGAGTAGGACTAAAAATAAATATCAGAAGTGAAACAGAAGCTCAGATCTAAAATATCTTAACACACCCACCAGTCGAGTGCTACCTTTGGGTGGTAACAGTTTAAATTAAATTCTGCAGTGCGAAATTAATTGTTCTAAATAGAAAAAGTTGCTTGATTTGAACAAAACTAACTGAAATCTTGCAGCTCTCAGCTGGAACTACTGCTTTTATCCAGTGTTTAATTTGCTTTACACAGCAATACTTAAACCCTGGCATTGTACTGGTCTATTCAACTTCAGGAATCCAGTGTGGAGTCCTGCAACCAACCGCTACTCGTAAAACCAAAGTCAACAAGTGAAAGTTTGTGTTCTGTTACAGAACACAAACTTTCACTTGTTGACTTTGGTTTTACGAGTAGCACAAAATACAGAACTTCTGTATTTTGTGCTGAGTTACACGTTACAGTTTCTGGGAAGCATTTCCTCCCGTCTTTAAAGTGTGTCAGCTCAGTCTATAAAATATTTAGGAGTGGATCTATAATTTATAAATCTATTACAGTATCTGCAGGAATAACAGCTTATCAGCACTTTGCAAGGACAGATGGAAAGCAGATGTTTCTTCAAGGATCAGGAACTAACAACTAACAACCGGTAGAGAACAACAGGTCTGTTACTATTACAATTTATTATGATTTATAACAATTTATTCATAGTATGAGACCTTCATAGTACAGTAGTTAATAAAATAAAGGTACTAGTATTTCAGGAAAACTTAAACACATTTTTCACTATTTTCTGATGTTGCAATATAAAAGGAAATGAGTATATTAATCGGTAATTTTACAAGGGTTACAGTACGTTCCTGCGCTTCGTTCTTCAAATATTCCCTTTACAGCAAAGTGAATTTTAATGATCCAGCCTTGTGGTTAGCAGACATGTAACTCACCTAATTTCAGGCATTTGTGCTGTATGAGCAGTTTACAAAATGAATGCCCGGTGGTCCTTGTGTGCATAATGATTACTTGTGGCTATGATAATTTCTAGGTTGTGTTACACTACGCAGACCCAGTACACCCAGTTTGTGTTTTTCATCGAATCCTATTCATGGTAGGATCCTGGTGTTTCCTTTCCAAGTCTTTTCCAGTTACAGCAGTAAAGTTGATCCTCTGTGAGGTTTTAAAGTGTCTTTTTATTTACTTATCCTTTGATTGATTTATTTTATATTAGTTAAGTGAGGGAAATGGAAAGCAGTGTGGAGTTCTTTATCACCATAGAAAAATATATAATGCATGTTCTTTAAAATTAATGGCTTTGGCTTTAATGTAACTTTCCACTTGTAATCACCACATTGTAATTTTCTGCAATGAGCCATGGCTAACAAACCAAGGCTATGGCTGAACAGACCCAAAATTACCTCCTATACCTTTTCCAAACCACTTTTCCTTGATCTCAATGGAAAACGTCACAGGGAGGATGGGAAAGATATTAAGGAGGAAAAGACAAACACAGCGCTCAGAGGATCGAACTTCCACTTGGCTCAAATTACTGAGCCAAGTGGAAGCGCAGTTGTGGTGAAACTACGATGTGCTGAAGATGGACTACAAACAAATCTTAATGCTCATATGACCATGTGTACCCCTGGGTTTAAAAACTGTTGAAGCTTCAAAACATATCAGCAGGTTATACTGAATATTACATGTTCTGCACCTGCGGTCCCCAAACCTTTTTGCGCCACGGACCGGTTTATGCCCAACAATATTTTCACGGACCGGCCTTTAAGGTGTTGCGGATAAATACAACAAAATAAAACCAGTACTGGTACCAAAAAACAGAAGATATATTCATAACACACGGGAAAAGGGAAACCGGGTTATGATAAAAACTATTTAAAAAAAAATAAAGATAAAAACCAATAAAAACCCTGAAAACCATAAATTTCACACCTGAGCCTCAACCCTCGCGGCCTGGTAACAAACGACTCACAAACCGGTACCGGTCCGAGGCCCGGCGGTTGGGGACCGCTGTTCTACACCACCTGCCAGTCATTTTGATTGCTTGTCTTTTACTGCCGCAGAAGCCCTAAAGCAACACTTGATGCCCAATATTGATGAAGATTTCTCAGATGAACTCTTTTTTTATATGGAAAATGAAGATATATAATAATATATTACACCACTCAATAATTCTAATCATTAAAATTGCCTCTCCTCCAAACTACACCAAATTTGACCTTTTCTGAATTAAATTAAACATATTTAAAGCATAGGGGAGATTGTTTCTTTGAGCCTAAAAAATTGAAACAGCTGGCTTCATCACCACCAACATTTTTAAAACCATGTTATTTTCTTTGGCTTTTAAACTTGACTTGGTTTTATATCCGCTTTCTACAAATCACAACTTATTTGTTTATTTTGTTTTAAATATATTTTTCCCCTTTGCAACACTCACTACATATTTAAAATTACACTGCACATCAAAACAGTGTGGTTAACTATTAGCTTTTGCAATCTGTGGTCCACTATGTTCTTCTTTTAGATGATCATTGAAATAAAAAGTAGATTGAGTAAACCTAATAGGATCAACAAACTGAGAGGTTCTCCAATAAGCATGTCTTTGTGTATATGTGTGTATTCTGCATGGGTGGCTGTATGCAATGTGTTTGATGGCCAGACACAATAGAGCCCCAGTCACACAGAATCAACTCAAAGAGATGGAGGAGAATAGAGAGAGGAAGGAGAGAGGGGAAGGAAGAGAACAGTGAACAGAATAATGAGGAGAGAAATTTGTACCCCCACTGGATGAGCAGAAATTTGGACCAATGGGAAAGAGAAATGCTTTGGTTTTGCCAGCTTGCTAATAATGAAGCCTGGGCGTAACAAGAAGCTTTAAACATAGATTTAAGGAAAGTTTCTGAAATATATTGTTGTTTCTATGAAAAATATTCATTCATACTGTCTGGCTTTACTGTAGGAGCGCTGAGCAGAAATCATCTGGGATCAGATCATAGTCCAGTTGAGTACAGAGAAGATGGAGTCCAAAACAAAAAAAAAAGAAACTAGAGATTTACAACAATGGCCAAAGAAAGAGAAGAAGAGTAGAAGTAGCTTATTGTGCTGAGATGAAAGATAAAGTGGTAAACACGATGGTGGAGCGCTGTGCGGTATGGAAAGCAGTGCCCTAAAGCCCTGGCAGCCTGATTAAAAGAGTGGTTTCCCGGGAGACGGGAACTGGAGATCCTTCAGCGGAAAAAAGGCGTCCCCACACACACACACACACACACACACACACACACACACACACACACACACACACACACACAGTGAGGCATACTAAAGCATCAAGACTGATTTATCATTTGAATTCCACTTGGTATAAAGTCAACACTCACATACACACATACTTTGCAGTATTTCACACAGAAACTTTACGTCTGCCTCGTCTTTTATCATAGTTTTTTCGCTCAAGATTTTAGCTACTAAATGGTTCTTGGCCCCTTTTTTACTACAGAGCTGTCCTATTGTGTAATATGTATAGACTGGAGCTTGGCACTGGCTTGTTAAGTCTGGCATCATTAGCCATCCTTTAGTGAGGCAGCGCTGGTTCAAATAAAGTACTAATATGATCAATGTGGCTGTCAGAGTGTTACAAGGAAGCTGAACATTCAGGAATTAATGAAAAACTGAATTTAGAAATTCATTAGGCTAGATGACATCTACACCATTTATCCCTGACTGAAGTGTTTCTAAAAAACGAAAGTAAACCCCACTGCAGTAACTCTGGACATTAACAAAGACAGGAAACGACACATTTAGAAGGTTAATGAAGTTGGACTAGTCGAAATATGATTAGCTACCTGGTGCTAAAGGTGCGTTACGTCATCAAACAAATTCTTTGAATCTTCAATAATATTTCCAAGTATTATGTTACTTTTCACTGAGAAAAAATATTTGTAATTTTTAAAAAATGTTTCCCATACAGTGGTTCAAAGAGTTACTTCTAAAATACTAAAAATGCTCGTTTCATATGTGTCAGAACATATGAATTTAAAAAAGGAAATTATTGACAGTGTGGTGCCTCTAATTAAATACACGGGTTCAGATGATTCACAGATGCTTCAGTTCTTTTTTTTAAATTTACATTTTAGACAATGTGTCCCATCTGTTTTGGAAAGGACAAACCATCAAAACACCAGTCCCCAAACTTCAGAAAATGACTTGGTGAGGAAAAGAAATAGTTAAGCTGACAGAGAAAAAGACAGTGATGTCTACATGTCTTAACTTGGTGCTGCTGTTGTCACTATTTTCTAGTCAGCTCAGTCCAAACCCACACAGACTGCAGACTCGGACTGGGTGTGGGACTGGGAATGCTGACTTCTGCATTGGACACTGGAGGCTTTGTGTGGCTTTGTGTGTTTGTAGGAATATGAGGACAGAGGAAATTAAACTTCCAAAAATGAAAATAACGCCTTTAATTAACAGTAAGTTCACCAAAGGTTCAAGGAATGGAGTATATATAAAAAAAAATACTGGCTGGCTGCTTTATCTGACCTGTAACAGAGTTGATGGAGCCTACTTTAGCTGCAACCCTAATTGACAATAGCTTACTTTACTATATTAATACAGTTCTGCCATATTCCTGCCATATAGTTCAAACGGTGGTTGCAAAAAGTGTTACTTTTACTAAAAAGCTAAAAGCTCAGCTGAAATATAAACATTCAATTCTTAAAACTAAGAAAAAAATATTTATATATGTGTAATTTTGTTAATTGGTCCTGAGTGTCCATTTTACTTCATGGTTTTGTTATTTTTATGTTACATATGGGAATAACAACTTTTTTACTCTTTAAATATTTGGCCTGATTTATAATAATA